CGAGATCGCGCCATTGCACTCCAGCCTGGGTAACAAAAGTGAAAATCTTTTTCCCAAAAAAAAAAAAAAAAAAAAAAAAAAAAGAGATGCTCTTATAAGCTGTTGACTAAATATTACAGTATAAGATAATTTAATTTGGGATTTTAGTATAGTTGTTTTAAACATGGTATTATGACTGTATCCCCATGTGCAGAAATAGCTGAAATAGTTTAGCTAATTTCTATGTAGGATTCTTGAAGCTGTTAATGTTTAACTTGCAGCTCAAGTATGACCCCAAATTGACTTTACAACATTCAGGAACAGAGCTGTAGGTCTCTGCTTCCATCTCATTCATGCACTTTTTATTTATTGTTTCAGAGGCAAGTATTTCCAAGCCCCTGTAAATTCTATTTGGATTTGCAAATAAAACCAACTTGTTATATAAAAGTTATATAAAACCAAATAGTCTAATTTTATAAATATTGATTTTAAAATGTCAGGCCAGGTGCGGTGACTCACGCCTATAATCCCAGCACTTTGGGAGGCTGAGGCGGGTGGATCATGAGGTCAAGAGATTGAGACCATCCTGGTCAATATGGTGAAACCCCGTCTCTACTAAACATACAAAAAAAAAATTAGCTGAGCCCAGTAGCACGTGCCTGTAGTCCCAGCTACTCGGGAGGCTGAGGCAGGAGAATTGCTTGAACCCAGGACGCGGAGGTTGCGGTGAGCCGAGATCGCGCCATTGCACTCCAGCCTGGGTAACGAGCAAAACTCCGTCTCAAGAAAAATAAAGGCCGGGCGCGGTGGCTCAAGCCTGTAATCCCAGCACTTTGGGAGGCCGAGGCGGGTGGATCACGAGGTCAAGAGATCGAGACCATCCTGGTCAACACCGTGAAACCCCGTCTCTACTAAAAACTACAAAAAATTAGCTGGGCATGGTGGCACGTGCCTGTAATCCCAGCTACTCAGGAGGCTGAGGCAGGAGAATTGCCTGAACCCAGGAGTCGGAGGTTGCGGTGAGCCAAGATCGTGCCATTGCACTCCAGCCTGGGTAACAAGAGCGAAACTCCGTCTCAAAAAAAAAAAAATTAAAAAAATAAAAATAAAAAATAAATAAATAAACAAATAAATAAATAAAATGTCAGGATTGTGATTTCTTTTGTAGTATTCATTTGTCAAACCACATGTTCATATAACAGCTTTAAAATCATGATTTTTCATTGGTATAGTGTTGGATTGAGTAAGGAGCATAGGGACTTCTGTAACAAACACAGAAGATTTCAGTGCAAAAACAAAACATAATGTTACAGAATCAGAGTAGTAACACAGTGAAAATTATCCTGGAATAGTTGATTCCCTATCATAGCATGTCAGAGCTGGGAATACTTTAGAGGTCATCCAGATACAAGAGAAGAGACTTGCCCAAGATAAACTCTTTGTTCTCCTTAGGCTGACATAGTAAATAAAACTTACTAAAGATAGGATCAAAGATTTCTGCTCCTTTTAAAATGATTTCATACTTAACAGGAAGAAATCTTTTGGAATGGTTCCACCAATAGGGAAATCATAATTTCATTTGACAAAAAGAAAAATAAACTAGTCAGGTGTGGTGGCATATGCCTGTGGTCCCAGCTACCCAGGAGGCTGGGGTGGGAGGATTGCTTGAGGGCAGGAGTTCGAGGCTGCAGTGTGTAACCATCGTGCCTGTGAAGAGCCACTGCATTCCAGCCTGAGTAACATAGTGAGGCTCCGTGTCAAAAAATTTAACAAACTTACTATATATGGATAAATATCTGTATCTGTCTACATAGAGTTTTTTTTTTCCTTCCTCAGAAGTTGTTTGCGTAATTTGAGCTCATCCTAGAAAAGGGTACATGGGAATTAAAAGCAAAGGCTACTTCTTGCTTGACAGTTTAAAGACCTTTCATGTTCCAAGATTGTATAAAGCAAATATGAAGGAAAGGAACATAATTGTTAAAGCAGTTTTTTGTTGTTGTCGTTGTTGTTTTTTTGAGACAGTATCTTACTTTGATGCCCAGGCTGGTGTACAATGGCACAATCACGGCTCACTACGGCCTCAACTTCTTGGGCTCAGGTGATCCCCCCAAACCCCCCATCTCACCCTTTGGAATAGCTGGGACTACCAGTGTGCACCACCACTCCTGGCTAATTTTTTGTAGAGCTAGGGTTTTGCCATATTGCCCAGGCTGGTGTTGAACTCCTGGGCTCAAGTGATCCACTTGCCTTACCTCTCAAAGTGCTGGGAATACAGGCATGCACTACTATACCTGGCCAGACATTTTCATAAACTTAGATTATGACAGGAGGAGGAGTATGTCCAGCAGGTATTTTTGACATATATTGTATGCTAGGCCCTAGATTTTCTTTTTTTTTTTTCTTTTGGTTCAATAAGAAGTAGTTGTTGAACCTATTATTTCCTAATACAGTTAATGTTAGGCATTATCTTGTTGAATATTAGTTAAAACACCATTTTTTTTCCTTAAGATGGAGTCTCATTCTGTCACGCAGGTTGGAGTGCAGTGGCACGATCTTGGCTCGCTGCAACCTCCGCCTCCCAGGTTCAAGCAGTTCTCCTGCCTCAACCTCCCAAGTAGCTGGGATTATAGGTGTGTGCCACCATGCCCGGCTGATTTTTTGTATTTTTAGTAGAGACAGGGTTTCACCATGTTGGCCAGGCTGGTCAAAACACCATTTTTTGTTGTTGTTGTTGTTTTGGAGATGGAGTCTCACTCTGTTGCCCACGTTGGAGTGCCATAGTGCAATGTCAGCTCACTGCAACCTCCTTCTCCTGGGTTCAGGCGATTCTTCTGCCTCAGCCTCCTGAGTAGCTGGGATTACAGATGTGCACCACCATGCCCGGCTAATTTTTGTATTAGTAGAGAGAGTGTTTCACCATGTTGGTCAGGATGGTCTCGGAACTCCTGACCTTGTGATCTGCCTGTCTTGACCTCTCAAAATGCTGGGATTATAGGCATGAGCCACTGTGCCTGTCTGCAAAACACCATATTTTTAAAGAGCAAAAATTATTTTCCTTCAAGATATTATAGAATAAATCAAGTAGGAGATAAGCTTTTAGGGAACTCTGTGTTCTAATTTAATCCATGTTCTTGACTGTATTTTTCTTGTGTATTTCCTATGTTTTCTTCTTGCTTTTTATAGCTCATTTTTTGCCTACCTGGATGATTCTGTCTTGGAGAGCCATGTAATCAGTGATTAGTTTTGAATACCATTCCTGGTTTTTTATGTACATTTAAGTTTGGAGTGAAAGATGCAGTTTCCCCCCAAAAAAGAAATGCTTGAAAGTGAAGCTCAGCACAAGAAGGCTAGAGTCTTGAGCATGATCTTAGGGAGGATTGAAGGATAAGAGGTTTCAGTCTTCTGTATATTTTTGCACCATTTAATGTATTACCCTTTATATTTTCAGGAGAAAGGCCCTTTAAGTGTCCCTTCGAAGGCTGCGGTCGGTCCTTTACAACATCAAATATCAGAAAAGTGCACGTTAGGACACACACAGGAGAAAGACCTTACTACTGCACAGAGCCAGGATGTGGGAGGGCATTTGCCAGTGCAACCAATTATAAAAACCATGTGAGGATACACACAGGTAACACTCTCTGATCTTTTTTTTTTTTTAAATCTTCCAAGGCTCAGTTTAACTCCTGCCTTTTCCAGAAACCATTTCCAACTAATCTCTTCCCTCCTTTCTATCACTTGGCATGGTGGAAAGATGTTAAGCAACTTTAAAAAGTTTCACCTTAACATTCATACATTCATTTGTTCAAGAGACAGTTATTGAGTATCTCCTGTCAGGCATCAAATAGAGAGAGATAAGACATTATCAAGGGCAGGCTACTTGGGAAGAGAGAGTAGACATACAGTTGCTGCAGAGTGTCTCCCATTATATGGACAAGATTCTATGGGAGCAGAACAGGGAGCAGTCACTTCTGTGGGAATGGGAGAAGCATTCTGGGAATGCTTTCGAGGGAAATTTGACATACAGACTTAATCCTGAAGTTTGCCACATATGAGAGAAGGGCATTCCTGGCAGGGAAAACGTCATGGGAAAAGGCACAAAGATATGAAAAAGCATGATACTCAGTGGTTCCATATGACAGGAGCATCAAGTACATGTAGATTTCTACAAAGTGAGTTCTGAGAGGTAGCCAGAGGCCTTGTGTGTTGTGCTGTCCTAGTTAAGGTGTTTCTTAGACTGGACTTTGAGAAGCTTGAGAGGTGGAAGGGTGGTCTATGGATATATTCTTTTTTTTTGGTAAACTGCTTTATTGATATACTATATTCATATACTATACAATACATACTATACTGTACAATTCATCCATTTAAAGTATATGATTCAGTGTTTTTTGGTATATTCACAAGATTGTGCAACCTTCATCACAATTCAATTTTAGAATTATTTTCATTTCCCCTAAAAGAAACTCCATACTTAGGAGGAATCCTTTCCCCACTCCACCTGCCAGCTGTAAGCAATCACGAATCTACTTTCCCTCTTATGGGTTTTCCCATTCTGGACATGGTCATATAAATGGAATCATGCAGTATGTGGGGTTTTTGTCTGAGTTCGTTCTCTTAGCATAAAGTTCAGCCATATCGTAGCATCTTTTAAATTATTTCGTTTTTCAGTAATTTAATAGTATTTCATTATATGGTATACCACATTTTTGTTTATTCATTCATCAGCTGTTTTTGCTTTCTGGCTATTATGAATAATAATAGTTTACGTATATCATGTATTCTTTATAGGCTATGAGCATTCATGTACAAGTTTTTATGTGGACATGTTTTTATTTCTCTTTGGTGTGCTTAGGAGTGGACTTGCTGGGTCATATGCTAACTCAGTGCTTGACATTTTAGGAACTTCCAAACTGTTCTCTGAAGTGGCTGCACCATTTTACAATCTTACCAGCAATGTATATAGGTTCCAGTTTCCCCACATCCCAGCTAACAGTTGTTATTATCTGTCTTTTTTGATTATAGCCATCTTGGAAGGTATGAATTGGTATCTCATTCTGACTTTTTTTTTTTTTTTTTTTTTTTTGGCATTCCTGGGTGGGCATGAATCATTCTGACTTCTGATTTGCATTTTCCTGATGGCTAATGATGTGAAGCATCTTTTTTTTCCCCCAAGACGGAGTCTTGCTCTGTCGCCCAGGCTGGAGTGCAGTGGTGCAATCTTGGCTTACTGCAACCTCTGCCTCCTCGGTTGAAGCAATGCTTCTGCCTCAGCCTCCTAAGTAGCTGGGATTACAGGCACCTGCCACTGCCTGGATGAATTTTGCTTTTTTTTTTTTTTTTTGAGACGGAGTTTCACTCTTGTTACCCAGGCTGGAGTGCAATGGCGCGATCTCGGCTCACCGCAACCTCCGACTCCCGGGTTCAGGCAATTCTCCTGCCTCAGCCTCCTGAGTAGCTGGGATTACAGGCACGTGCTACCATGCCCAGCTAATTTTTTGTATTTTTAGTAGAGACGGGGTTTCACCAGTTGACCAGGATGGTCTCGATCTCTTGACCTCGTGATCCACCCGCCTCGGCCTCCCAAAGTGCTGGGATTACAGGCGTGAGCCACCGCACCTGGCCCGAATTTTGCATTTTTAATAGAGACGGAGTTTCACCATGTTGGCCAGGCTGGTCTCAAACTCATGAGTTTGTGATCCTCCCACTTTGGCCTCCCAAAGTGCTGGGATTACAGGAGTGAGCCACCGCTCCTGGCTGAAACATTTTTTTAATGTATTTATTAGACGTGTGTATCTTCTTTGGAGAAATGTCTATTCAGATCCTTTGCCCATTTTAAAAATTGGGTTGTCTCTATTACTGAGTTGTGTGACTTTCTAATTCTAGATCCAAGTCTCTTATCAGATGTATAATTTACAAATATTTTCTTCCATTCTATGGCTGGTTTTTTAATTCTCTTGATACTGAGAAGCTTTTAATTTTGATGCTCCATTTTGTGGATGTATTTTTGGTGGATGAGAATGGAAAGGCAAATGTGAGAGTAGTACAGGATGTGCATTAGTTTTATTTAAAAAATTCTTTTTTTTTGAGACAGAGTCTCACTCTGCCACCCAGGCTGTAGGGCAGTGGCACAGTCTCGGCTCACTGCAACCTCCACCTCCTGGGTGCAAGCAACTCTCCTGCCTCAGCCTCCTGAGTAGCTGGGACTACAGGCACCCACTACCACGCCCGACTAATTTTTGCATTTTTAGTAGAGAAAGGGTTTCACCATATTGGCCAGACTGGTCTCAAACTCTTGACCTTGTGATCCGCCCACCTCAGCCTCCCAAAGTGCTGGGATTATAGGCGTGAGCCACCGTGCCTGGCCAGAAAATTTTTAATATAGTTTTATTACTGGTATTAAGGGTAATCTTATCTTGTGTTAATTCAAAATTAAAAGACCTTTTTTTTTTTTTTTAAGACAGAGTCTCCATCTGTTGTTCAGACTGGAGTGCACTGTTGTGATCTTGGCTCACTGCAACCTCCGCCTTCCGGGTTCAACTGATTCTCCTGCCTCAGCCTCCTGAGTAGCTGGAATTACAGGTGTGTGCCATCACACCTGGCTGATTTTTGTATTTTTAGTAGAGACAGAGTTTTACCATATTGGCCAGACTAATCTTGAACTCCTGACCTCAGGTGATCCATCCGCCACTGCCTCCCAAAGTGCTGGGATTACAGGCATTAGCCATCACCTCCAGCCCTGATACTCAGTTGTTATGTACTACACATAAACATGTACCTGAGGCCGGTCGTGGTGGCTCACGCCTGTAATCCTAGCACTTTGGGAGGCTGAGGTGGGTGGATCCCCTGAGGTCAGGGGTTCAAGACCAGCCTGGCCATCATGGAGAAACCCCATCTTTAAAAAAAAAAAAAAAAAAAAAACAAAACATGTACCTACAAATGAGTTCACTTACTGTTAATTAATTATGGCCAGGCATACTGGCTCACACCTGTAATTCCAGCACTTTGGGAGGCCAAGGTGGACAGATCACCTGAAGTCTGGGGTTTATGACCAGCCTGGCCAATATGGTGAAACCCCATCTGTACTAAAAAATATAAAAATTAGGCGTGGCGGTGGGCACCTGTAATCCCAGCTACTTGGATGGCTGAGGCAGGAGAATCGCTTGAACCCGGGAGGTAGAGGTTGCAATGACCTGAGATTACGCCACTGCACTCCAGCCTGGGAAACAAGAGCAAAACTCCATCTCAAAAAAATAAATAAGCCGGGCATGGTGGCTCACCTGTAATCCCAGCACTCCTGGGGAGGCTGAAGCAGGCGGATCACAAGGTCAAGAGATCGAGACCATCCTGGCCAACATGGTGAAACCCCGTCTTTACTAAAAAGACAAAAAAATTAGCTGGGTATGGTGGCATGCACCCATGTTCCCAGCTATTCAGGAGGCTGAGGCAGGAGAATCGCTTTAACCCAGTAGGCGGACGTTGCAGTGAGCCGAGATTGCGCCACTGCAGCCCAGCCTGGCAACAAAGCGAGACTCTGTCCTAAATAAATAAATAATTGATGTTTTCAGTGCTGCTTCTTATAAGTGCTTAAGAGCCTTATTGTGATAATTGGAGAAAATGTCAGGGGCTTTTTGGATGGGCTGAGAAAACATTATTTTTCCCATTTAAAGTAATGGAATATAGAGCTAGGCTCAGTAGCTCATGCCTGCAATCCCAGCACTTTGTGAGGCTGAGGCAGGTAGATTGCCTGAGCTCAGGAGTTCAAGACCAGCCTGGGCAACACAGTGAAACCCCCTCTCTAAAATACAAAAAATTAACTGGACGTGGTAGTGTGCGCCTGGTAATCCCAGCTACTCGGAGGGCTGAGGCAGAAGAATTGTTTGAACCTGGGAAGCAGAGGTTGCAGTGAGCTGACATCATGCCATTGCACTCCAGTCTGGGCGACAGAGTAAGATTCTGTCTCAAAAAGAAAAAAAAGTAATGGAATACAGACTAATTATCTGAAAGCTAGCCATTCAGCACATTTTAAAGGCAAAATAAGAGAGATGCCTACATTAAGTTTGGCCATATTGATGTCTTTGGAACATTTATATAGAGCAGTGCTCTCGAATGAGGCTGCATATTAAATATAGCTCTTTGAAATAGACTGATTCTCCAGATCCTGTCTGCAAAGATTCTGACATAATTGTACTGGGGCGAGTCACAGGCATCGGGATATATTAAAAGCTCCCCAGGTCTTTGGAAGAAATGATTGGCTCATGATCAAGTAACTGCTACAATAAATGCCCACACTATCCAACAGAGTGTAAAGATTCAGCTCTGTGAAATGCACTCCTTTTTTTCTTTTTCTTTTTTGCAAGGCTAGTCAGATGACTCACATGAGGCTATGCAGCTAGCCAGTAAGGGAGTGCAAAAGCACAATCCAAATAGATTTGCCTCTTGGCTGTGATTTGGTGCCACCTAGTGGCAATTTCTGCTCTAGCCTAAATATCAACTGGGCTGATTTTTCCTCAGGTGATCTGCCTGCCTAGGCCTCCCAAAGGCATTAACCTGCCTGATTTGAGAATGGGAACTGGGTCGGACGGTCGGTTAGCTCAATTGGTAAGAGCGTGGTGCTGAGAATGGGAACTGGGCAGAGGACAGGAAGCAATCGCCAATTACTGTATGTATAAGACTTGTGTTATAGTACGTTAGTGTGATATCTTGTTACTTTTAGATGGGTTTACTGTGTTTAGAACCATTGAACAGTGCAATTACTCAAGGAATGTGTCGAATGAGAATAAACCAGGACATGTATATGTACACATACTTTGATAAGTTTGAGTTCATACCAATGCCTCCAATTCCATTTCACCACAGGGTTCTTTTTTTTCCCTTCCCTTGGTCCATATTTGTGTTATCCTTTTTCCACAGCAGTAACCCTGACTTCCAGCAGCATTTGAAATATTTACTCATTTGCTCAGTCTTTTATTCCATCTAAAATAGTTTCAGAATCACTTCACCCTTACACTACAGTGAACAAACCTACTAAAAAAGTGCTGAATATTTGTTTGCAATTCTTCCCCTCACCTTTGCCACTGAGCCCAAGACTGAGGGCATAAATCAAATACTGTATAAATGAGTTACTTTAATTAATTTATTTGTTCCCCCACCTTCAGAGTAGTATTCACTTAAACAACTAGGTTAATTTGTTCCAGTTTACTTTCAGTTCTAGGTCCCCACACCACCATATGTTAGCACTGTTTGGATAGTTTGTGATATTAAGTAATCATTATTAGTTTTGTTTGCATATTTTTTTAACTGGGACCCATCTTTTAGATATACAGTCTGAAAGAAAAGGAATGTTATCTGGAACTGTTTCAGAATAGTCCTGGGTGAGGAAGAATGAGGAAAATGGGCAGTAAATATAAGAAACAATATTAGTCATGAATTGATAGTTGAGGCTGGATGATTGGTACATGGGGGTTAATACACTATTTCACTATACTTTTGTGTATATTTCAAATTTTCTATAATAAAAAGTTCTAAAAATATATGTACTGCCTATAATGTTCTTAAGCCTTTTCATAGAACAAAAATTACTTACTTCCCTGTGTATTGCCTACTTGCTATTAGTGAATACTCAGTAGCTTTTGATTGGATGCAAGAAGTCAGGTTCAGTTAAATGAAACATGTTTGTCCTTTTAGGTGTATTGATATATCTAACGTTGTTTAATAGACTTTTTTTTTTGAGTTGGAGTTTTGCTCTTGTTGCCCAGGCTGGAGTCCAGTGGCATGATCTTGGCTCACTGCAGCTTCCTCCACCTCCTGGGTTCAAGCAGTTCTCCTGCCACAGCCTCCCGAGTAGCTGGCATTACAGGCATGCACCACCATGTCTGCCTGATTTTGTATTTTTAGTAGAGACAGGGTTTCTTCATGTTGGTCAGGCTGGTCTCGAACTCTTGACCTCAGCCAATCTGCCTGCCTCAGCCTCCAAAATTGCTGGGATTATAGATGTGAGCCACTGTGCCTGGCCAAATGTTTAATAGACTTTTTAAAAAAATCCTTTTTTATTATCTTTATAAAATTCTTAGGATAAGCTGCATAAGTTACAATAATATTTACATTTATTATCGTCATTATTAGTAGAGTATCACTAACAGTATCTAGATTATCTAGTTATAAGAAACAAGAAATTACAATTTCATCAAGGTTAGAGTTAAACTGGGTAACATCTCCATCCTTTTCCCATTCCGTGAGATAAAGGGGAACATGGTGTTGATGCATGGGGACAACACTAAGGATGCATGCTACCTTTTGAGTTGGGTTAAAACCATAGTTAGGGAATCTTTTCTTGTGTGCTGCCTCATGGTGGGATGAGGAGGAATTTGGCAACTATTTATTTTTAGAGGTATTTTACCCCCTGCAGGGGAAGTGTGGAATGATCATGCCTACATACGTAAAAGTTGACCTATTTATTTATTTATTTATTTTTATTGAGACAGATTCTCGCTTTGTCACCCAGGCTGGAGTGCAATGGCTCGATCTCATCTCACTGCAACCTCCGCCTCCTGAGTTCAAGCGATTCTCCTGCCTCAGCCTCCTGAGTAGCTGGAACTATAGGCGCGTGCCACCATGCCTGGCTAATTTTTGTTTGTTTTCAGTAGAGATGGGGTTTCACTGTGTTAGCCAGGATGGTCTCCATCTCCTGACCTCGTGATCCGCCTGCCTTGGCCCCACAAAGTGCTGGGATTACAGACGTGAGCCACTGCGCCTAGCAAGTTGACCTTTTTTTGGTTCTGTTCTTTAGGGGAAAAGCCATATGTTTGTACAGTTCCTGGTTGTGACAAAAGGTTTACAGAATATTCCAGTTTGTACAAACATCATGTTGTCCACACTCATTCTAAACCTTACAACTGTAACCACTGTGGGAAGACATACAAGCAGATCTCCACACTGGCCATGCACAAACGGACAGCCCACAACGACACTGAGCCCATCGAGGAGGAGCAGGAAGCCTTCTTTGAGCCGCCCCCAGGTGAGAGTTTTGTCTACTGTATTTTTTTTCTGAGTTTGAGAATCAACAGTTATGAACATAAGTTATGATGCATAGCATTTTCTCAAATCATAAATGTTTCATTCGTATAATCACACAAACATAATTTACAACTGCAGTAAGTGTTATTGAGAAAAGTATGTGGTGCTGTGGGATGTATAGAAGGGAATGTTAGTCTGGGAGGTCAAGGAAGGGATTTTTGGAGCGATCTGGAGGTTGAATAGGGGTTAACTGGGTGAAGAAGCCGGGGTTGCGGCGGGGGGGAAGCAGGGAGCAAAGGCAGGCGAATGTTCCAAATAGAGAGAATGGCACATGCAGAAAGCCGGGAGGTTGGAGAGATCAAAGTAAATTGTAGATGCTGAATGAATCCTGGCCAGTAGGGCAGTTCTGCCTGGGAAGGTGGTTGTGAAGCAAGGCAGGGGTAGCCAGATGTTTGGGTCCATTAAGAATGTTGGTCTTAATCTTAATAGTAGAGAAGTACTCCCAAATAACTTCATTGATTCAGGTGCCATTAAGTATGTTATTGTAAGAGACAAAATTATTCATTTCAGTAAACCCTTAGAAAAATATTTTGGAGAATTACAATGAATTATTTCAGGCAAATTATTAAGCATAGGTAAGTAGGTAAAAGAGGTAAAAGGAAGAAGGTTTTTTTTTCTTCCTTTCTTTTTTTTTTTTTTTTTTTTTTTTTTTTTCCCCAAGATGAAGTTTCGCTCTTGTTGCCCAGGCCGGAGTGCAGTGGTACAATCTCGGCTCACCCCAAGAGTTGAGATTCTCCGCAACCTCCGCCTCCCAGTTTTAAGTGATTCTCCTGCCTTAGCTTCCCAAGTAGCTGGGATTACAGGCATGCGCCATCATGCCCAGCTAATTTTGTGTTTTTAGTAGAGACGTAATTTCTCCATGTTGGCCAGGCTGGTCTCAAACTCCTGACCTCAGATGATCTGCCTGCCTCAGCCTGCCAAAGTGCTGGGACTACAGGTGTGAGCCACCACGCCCAGCTGGAGGTAGGTTTTTCTAAAACACAAAACATGGGCTGGCTTGGTGGCTCACTCCTGTAATCTCAACACTGGGAGGCTGAGACGGATGGATCACTTGAGGTCAGGAGTTTGCGACCAGCTTGGCCAACATGGCGAAACCCCATTTCTACTAAAAATACAAAAATTAGCTGGGCATGGTGGCACATGCCTGTAATCTCAACTACTTGGGAGGCTGAGGCAGGAGAATCACTTGGACCTGGGACACGGAGGTTGCGGCGGTGAGCGTGAGCCAAGATTGCACCACCGCACTCCAGCCTGTATGACAGGAGTAAGACTCCATCTCAAAAAAAAAAAAAAAAAAAAAAAACAAAACCACTGAACAAAGCAAGTTTTCTTACTGTTTCATTGAGTACCTCCTAAATGAAGTAAATTTGAAAATTAAGAGAAGACTGGCCGGGCGCGGTGGCTCAAGCCTGTAATCCCAGCACTTTGGGAGGCCGAGGCGGGTAGATCACGAGGTCAAGAGATCGAGACCATCTTGGTCAACATGGTGAAACCCCGTCTCTACCCCGTCTCTACTAAAAATACAAAAAATTAGCTGGGCGTGGTGGCGCGTGCCTGTAATCCCAGCTACTCAGGAGGCTGAGGCAGGAGAATTGCCTGAACCCGGGAGGCGGAGGTTGCGGTGAGCCGAGATCGCGCCATTGCACTCCAGCCTGGGCAACAAGAGCGAAACTCCGTCTCAAAAAAAAA